TGCCGAGACGTGAAATATGTGGTGTGTGCATTGTCACAAGCTTGGCAGACATACCCATTGTCTTTCTCTCTCAACCTGGATGAGATCTCCGTCTTCTAAAACACTAGATGATTATCATTTGGCGCTGGTACAAAAGGGGCAAAACCTATTGCCTAACATAAGCAGTAGAAGAAAGTGTCTTTGGAACTGTACAAACCCAGGTTTGGAACTGAACCCTACAACTCACCCAACCTCAGTTTCCTTATTTTTAGACTGAGATACTGCCACCTACTTCCCATGGTGTGGTTGTGAGAATTAAATGAGTTAATATTTGTAAAGCATCTAGTGCCTCTTCCAGTGCAATAAATATAGGTTCCTCTCTCTTTTCTCTTCCTTAAGGGACATTTCCTTGAAGATTTGATGAGCATTGTCTTAACTGATTTTAGAGTTAGGGAGAGATAAGACCAATGTTTGAATGAGGGAGATACAATGCATAGATAAAAATGGAAGCCTTTTCAGAGTTTATAGAGGAAAGACCCACAGAATCTGGAAATTCTAGCTGTAGAGGGAAGCCCAATACAGATAAGAAGGTAACCAGGGAGGCTGTGCTTTTGAAAGATAAGAAATGCTAATGAGCGATGATTACCAGGAAATGAAAGTGCATGGCAAGTTTAGAAGAAAACAGCAAAGCAGCATACATAGTTGAGCCTAAGTTGCTGGTAAACTAGCTGCCAATTAAATAAAATTCTAAAATCAGGCCCTCATACCTTCTCTAACCATTTAATCCTTTCTTTTTTCTAATGAATCACGAGGACAAATGCCTCATGACATTTATTCTAATATCATGATACAAAGAGTAGCTATGAAGCAATGAGCTTGATTGTCAGAAGTCAAACTTGAGGAAAGTCAGCATTTCCGGGCACGAGCACACTCAATCAGTTGTTAGTAACAAGAAAAATTAACATGTTACTCGTTGTTGCCAAACCCATCACAAACGTGCTCTCAATGGCCAGGACAGTAGAAAGAAAAAGGCCCGGGACTGGCAAGGCAATGCCTCCTCACTGGCCGCGTAGCATCCGTGACACTTAGTGGACGTGGGTCCATGGTGTATGAGTTAGGATATTTTGGGTTCTAAGCACCAGAAGAGCGGCTCATACTGGCTTATGTAAGAAAGGGAATTTACTAGCGCGTGGAATGGAAAAGCCCACACAGACTTGAAAAGCTCCAACAATGTGACCAGGAACCAACCTTCCCCTCACCATTTCTTGGCTCTGCTTCCCCGGTGTGTCTTCATCTTAGGCAGCCTTGGGCAGACTGCTGTGCTGGTGAACCAGCTTCCAGCTGTCGCCTGGGGCTACATGCCCTCATGCATATTCATATAACATGAAGAGAAAATCTTTGTGCCTATGTTATCAGCAGAAGTCCTGAGATGTACTCTTAACTATACCCTCCTAGGTCACATGCTCATCCTTGTGTCAGCCACTGGGGCAGGAGATGGAATGTGATGATGGGATCAGCCTAGGTCATGGGGGGCCAAGTCCATTCCCATGGCTCAAAGTGGGTTTCCCATAACTGCATGGATTCCCACATGGAATTAGGACAGTTGGGAATTGAGAAGAAGAGAAGGAAAGGTGCGAAATCAAGAGTCATATTCTCATAGTCAGTAGATTTGAACCATTTTGCAGTGAACAGAACCTCAGTATATAAATTATAGGCAAATGCAGCTTTACTGGCTGATATAGAAATGGGGGTTAGAGCCCTTGTCTTCTGTCACTTCTATGAGGCCTGCTTAGAAACCTAGTGCTCCAGAAGGCAGGGATGAGAGGATCTTTTTGGGTCCATCCAGTTCTATTCTTCGCTATCGCTTGATAAGCAAATATCTGCAAGGACCACATGTGCTTATGTCTACTGTGGCACTTCAGCAGGCCTTGGGAGCCACCACACTTGGCCTTAACCATTTCTTAAGTGGCATTTTCAGTGGCATTAAGTATGTTCACATTGTTGTACAACCATCAGCACTGTCCATCTTTAGAACTCCTCATCTTGCAAAACTAAAACCCTATACCATTAAACAACAAATCTCTATTCCTCCCTCCCTCCAACTCCTAGTCACCACCACTCTATTTTCTGTCTCTATGAATCTGATCTAGGTATCTTATATAAGTCGAGTTATATAGTATTTGGGTTTTTTGGTGAATGGCTTATTTTGCTTAGCATAATGTCCTTGAGATTCATCCATTGTTATAGCACGTGTCAGAATTTCATTTCTTTTTAAGGCTGGATAACAATTTATTGTAAATAGCACAATATTTATTTATCCATCCATGCATCGATGGACACTTGGGTTGCTTCCTTTGACTGTTTTGGCTAGTGCTGCTATGAACATAGGTGTGCAAATATCTTTGAGACCTTATTTTAATTCTTTTGGATATGTGCACACTCAGAAGTGGAATTGCAGGATCATATGGATGAAGTGCTTTCTATGGCACAGTTTTGTAAAATTCTTAAATGTATATTCTAAAGTAGCAAATACTCACAGACTGATAGTTCAGTGATTTCATTTTATAGCTTCACAATAGGTATAAGAGAGAAAGCAACCAGGCAAAACCTCTGTAAGATCAGGTGGCTTCTTTTCTATTCATGGAGATTGAAGCTAATAAGGGTTCAATTGTGTTCTAGGCTTGCATTTGGGTAAGTCTCACAATCACAAAATCAAGTGTAAGGGATCCATAGTCTAACCCAGGTTTAACTTGGAGCCCTGTCCCGAGACAACAACGCTGTGCTTCAGGAATGAAACAAAGAGAAGCTTCTTCAGCAAGCAGGAGGCACTGCTGGGCCGCCCAGATGTAACCTATTTTTGCTTGTCTAGCCCACAGACTTCCTTTTCTATCTAGACGGACATAAGGACAATAGGAAACATGTCTCTATTTCTTCCTCAGTGGAGAAAGTAAGAACATCTCCTTGTGAATATCGTTTCATTGTTTAAAACTTATTTGTATCAAAGATTCTATTTAGTCAAATTTAATTTCTTTGAAACAGTATTTCTTAAAGGGTGTTGTCAAGTTCTTTGTAGTTTATACCAGCTACTAAAACAAGCATGCTTTCAAACCAATAAATGTGGTATTAAAACTTCTCTCAACTCAATTGAGTTCTCTGACAAAAGAAAGCTAGCATTCTGCACACATAAAATAGCAGTAACTCAAGCACAGGCCTCATATTGTGTTCTGGGTGGTGAGCAGCTGACACACATAATTGGCATTGGGCACTCGGAGAGAAAGAGTGTAGCTCTCTACAATGAAGAAAGGCCACACTTTGGGTCAGGGCTATTCTACCCTGAAAAGGCTGGGGCATGTTTCAGATGTGGCAACGAAGACACTGTCTCGTTCACACACTCATTTATAGTATCACCTTTCATTAATTGGGTAACAACAGATAATGAAAATTAATCAAACAAAACCCTTTTGACATAGTCTTCAATAGTCTTCAATGGTGATGTCATATACCATTGAATACACGATGCTTTTTGCTCCAGAGACTTCTCTCTGACTGTAAGTGCTATACATTCCCAGGATGATTTGGGAATCAGGGACTAGGTTGGCTTTGTTGAAACAAAGACTAAGAATGCTAAATATCTTGCAGAGTGTCTTTCAGATGACTGAAGTCACTGCTACCTTAGACTCTCTTGCCTGAACATTTCTATGTTATCATCTTGTAACCTAGGCTTCCACCAAGGATATGAGATTCCAAAGAGGATAGCAAATGAGCAGGTCTTCTCCAACTCTGTGCTGTCTCTTCCTTTCCCCTCTTCCCAGGGCATCTCTTTCTCACCTGCCATATGTTATCACTGTCCTCTTGTGCACACATGTGATACATTTATCATTGCCATCTGCAGGGCCAAGATGGCTAAAGAGCATTCTTGCTAAGAGCATCATTTTTTGTTGTTTTTTTGAGACACAGTCTCACTCTGTTGTTCAGGCTAGAATGCCGTGGCGTCAGCCTAGCTCACAGCAACCTCCAACTCCTGGGCTCAAGCAATCCTACTGCATCAGCCTCCAGAGTAGCTGCGCCACCATGCCCGGCTAACTTTTTCTATCTAGCTCACAGCAACCTCCAACTCCTGGGCTCAAGCAATCCTACTGCGTCAGCCTCCCGAGTAGCATGCGCCACCATGCCCGGCTAACTTTTTCTATCTATTTTTAGTTTGCCAATTAATTTCTTTCTATTTTTAGTAGAGATGGGGTCTTGCTCTTGCTCAGGCTGGTATCAAACTCTTGAGCGATCCTCCCACCTCGGCCTCCCAGAGTGCTAGGATTACAGGTGTGAGCCACCATACCCGGCCTGCTAAGAGCATCTTATCTCTGGTTCTTCCCCCTCAGTGTATGCACACCTTTAGTGTGCATAAGAATCCTCAGAGTAGACTGCTTTAAATGCAGATTCCTGGGCACACACCTGATTTACTAAGGTCTGGGGTGGGACCAAGGAATCTGCATTTTAATAAACACCGCCAGCAATTCTGGACAGGCAGCCTTTTGACCTCACTTAAAGAAGCCATCTTCCCCAGGACAACAGCCCAGCATCTCCGCCCCAGCCCAGATCTCAGTCTGGCCAGGGTTCCCTTGGACAGAAGTAGCAGTCCCCGGATTCCCCACAATGTGTTAGAGAGCAACCACAAGTTTCTGTAAGCATGCACAATTTGCTGGAATATTTTCTGGGGTTAATCATTACAAAGATCTGATTCCGACAGTAAGTTTCAGTCACACTTTTCCACCGCTCAATATAATTAAGGGCGGAAGTTCCTGTTTGGGGTGTTCCTTGGCAGCCACGAACCGTGACTGACAGATTGGACAGGTAGAAGTTCCAGACAAAATACTGGCTCTCATGGAGCTTTGTGAGCTGGGAAACCGGCCAATTCCTTCCCCTTGGCCTCGGTGTCCTCATGGGTAGGGGAGCTATGCCTTACCCCTCATAGGCGCTGGGAAGAGAAATGACAGAAAAACCCACATTGTGGAATGACACGGCACCTTTGAGATCCAACGTGAGGATTTAGCAAACGGCTCTGCCACTGCTGTGAAAACTGTGCTGTCTTCTAAAAAGCCCACCTGGAAGCGAAAGAAATGATCCAGTGTAAAGCACATACTCTGAACCGGGTGCTCCGCTAGACGACTCCTCAGCCAGTAGCACCCTTAACCTTCAGAACCCTTTGGGATAAAGTAGTAGGTTACCTAAGTTGCACCAGGGGACAGGGGACAGAGATTCACAGAGGTTGTCCTGGGAACTTGGTCTGCAGAAAGGATACACAGGCAGGTAAATGAAAAATCTAAAGCAGCTCCAGGATTTATGGCTCCCAGCCCAGCCCTTTCACTTTTAAAAGCTGTACATTGTGATTCCATAATGAAGTAACATGTGACTCAATTTTTCTTGTAAAATCATTACAAGATGAGTCAAATTCCCCCTTTAACTCGCCCTTTGAAAATGTCTGTATTCTTCCAGGAGGGATTCACTGCTTTGAGGTCAGTGAAAATGTTTTAAGACCTTGCTCTACGCCTACTCCTACACAGACATCTGTACCCCTGGAAAACATACAGTGGTTTTATGTACATGCATATGTGTTCCGTGTATATATTTTTAAAATGTAAATGGAAGCCCATCATATATATCACTCTGAAACTTGCCTTTGGCACTGAATGCTACATCTTGGAGAGTTGTTATTGCCTATACATATCCATCTATTTCACTTGATCTATTGCTGCCAAACCTTCTAAGTTTCAGTTACCCTCCAGTCTATTCAGTCATTCCCTTATTGATAAGCATTTTGCTTATTTCCATTGTTTTGATAAGACAAGAATACCAAACACCCCTGTATATGCCTTTGTGCATATGTGTGTCTTCTAAGGTAGATACCATCAAGATGGATTGCTTTGTAGTATGCAGGATATGCATATTATTTTTATCTTTAGAATTATCAAATTGTCTCCAAAATAGATACATTGATTGGTATATTTTCTTTTTTCTTTTTTTTGGAGACGAGGTCTCACTCTGTCATGCAGGCTGGAGTGCTCACTATAACCTTGAACACTTAGGTTAAAGCAATCCTCCCATCTCAACTTCCCTAGCAGCTGAGACTACAGACACACACCACCATGCCTGGCTAAGTTTTAAAATTTTTTTTGTGGAGAGAGGTCTTGTTGTGTTGCTTAGGATGGTTTTGAACTCCTGGCCTCAAGTAATCCTCCTGTCTCCACCTCCCAAAGTGCTGGGATTATAGGCACATTTAAAAATGTTGCTGATATGTTGGCAAAAAAAAAAAAAAGGATGTCTTGTTTCACTTAAATCTGCATTTTCCTAATTACTGGTGAGGTTGGGCAATATTTCATATGTTTGCTGGCTATTTATGTTTCTTCTTTTATAAAGTCCTATAATCTACTTTTTATCCATTTTCCATAGCATTGCATGATTTCTTCTTATTAAATTTTGGAAGTTCTTTATGCATCCTGAATCCTAATCTTTTGGAATCTATTTTCTCCTGGGTTATTACTTGACTTTTTAACATTATTTATGGTATTGTGCGTGTGTGCGTGCGTGCGTGCGTGTGTGTGTGTGTGTGTGTTTTGAAACATAAGTTTCAAATTTTGATGTAGTCATATTATTGAGTTTTCTTTTATGAATTCCTATTTTTTATGTTCTACGAATGCCTCCCCTATCTGCAGTTCATAAAGATATTTTTCTATGTTTTCTCCTATTATGAAGCCCATGTATTTTTCTGGCTTAGAGCACTGTCTGATCTCCGCAGTCTCCACCGGGCTCAGGGCTGCTACGTGAGCAAGGACACTGGGAAGCACTGTCTGGGAAGCAACCATCCACACCCCGATTTTCAGTTGGATCCAACTGCAGGGTGGTCCGCAGAACTATGCCTCTTAGACTGCCTTAAGGGAATGGCTTAAATGGTAGCAAGCTTTTCTGAGAGACATCATAAAACAGAAAGAAACATTTAAGCTACTAATTCAGAAAGGTATGGAATGGCTTTCTCTGGAGATGGACAACACCCAGACATTTACTATTTTAGGATATTTAGGATAACTCCACACTTCAGGGAGTTCAAATAATCTGCTACAAGTTTCTGGGCCTTCCCATCTAATGGAAATATAATGCAAGCTGCATAGGTACCTTAAAATTTTCAGTAGCCACATTAAAACTTAAGGAAAAATAATTTTAATGATTTAACCCAATATATCCAAAATTGTATCATTGCAACATGCAATCAGCATCACATATTATTAAGGAGGTATTTTTCATTCTTGTTTTTGTATCAAATCTTTGATAGGTAGCGTATATTTTTACTTCTAGCATGTCTCATTTCAGAGAACCACATTTCAAGTATTCAATAGCTGAGATGTCAGCTACTGTATTGGACAGAGCAGTCCTGAGGATAAAGACTGCAAAAGTCCACGAGAGGCATCTTCTTAGTTTACATTAAAGTGATTAAGTGAGCACAATCTAAATATTTAAGTCCATCCCCCCATTGTTCTTTCTAGCATGAGTGTATCGTAACTTCAACTGATCCTGCCTACTGATATAGATTAATCTTCCTAAAGCACAGTTTTGTTTGGATTATTTCCTGGAAAGGATGTGGCTGCCAGTGAAGACTTCTAAGAGTTAAGATGACAGTTAAGCCAAGACTCAGAAGGCAGGTGGGAATTGGCCAGAAGGTGAGAGGGAACAGTGTGAGCGAGGGTGTGGCTGGAGTGTATGGGCTGGCAGTAAAGCAGACATCAGATCCTCAGGGGATGCACAGGCCCTGCTGAGAACTTAGACTCGATTCTGCAGATAACAGAGAGTCATCAGACATATGTCAGCAGGAAGCATGGGAGAAAGGCAGGCCCAGAGGCAAGGAAAGTGCAGGATCCAGGTAAAAAATAACGAGGTCCTAAGCTAAGGCAATTCATTCATTCATTCACTCCACAAATATTTATTGAGTGCCTACTGTGTGTTAGTTGATGATCCAGGCACTGGAGAAAACAGAACAGACAAATCCTGCTGCCCGCATAGAACTTTAATATATTGTGGGGGGAAGTGGGTAAATGGTGAATGAATGAGGGTGATCCTCAGGTTTCTGGTCCTACTTGGTGAATGGTGGGACCAATCTCTGAAGCAGACATTACAGGAGGCAGAACGGGTTAGGGGCAAAAAAGGATTGGTTCAGCTTTACCTTTTGGACAAAGATTGGGGTGTTTTGGGGGCACCCAAGTGGAGCTATGCAGCAAGCTGTTGGATACGCATATTTGGAGATCAAGAGAGAACTCTGGAAGGAACACACAGATGTGGCAGCCGTGGCATATGAACAGTATGAAATCCCTGCAGGTGGATGAGATAATCCTGGGAGGAAGTCTGGAAGCAGGAGTCACAACTCAAGTGACACCAGGGCTCAGGTGAGTTGTGAATGTGTGTGAATTGATCACATACGAAACAAGAGTGTTGGGTTTGTGGCCAACTGGAAAGGATATGCTCTGCAAAAGCAGCAAGAGTTAGTCTGTGGGTCACTAGTTTGCAATTCCTAGACTTCTGGAACTTCTCTTTCTGCCTTATGTCTCATTTTTTAATAAAGATTTTTACGTCAAGCAGCTAGCTGTTCTGAAAACGCATTTCATTTTCTGAGACACTCACTGCAGTTCCCAGCCTCCTTTGCCGTTACCAGTGGCTCTGCGACTGGCTTCTAGCCAGGGGAACATGAGCTCTGTTTGGGCCAGGGCATTGAAGAAGAGGGTGTGCCCCCTCCACACACCTTCTCCTCTTCCTCCGGCTGATGTCCATGATGACAAAGTATAGGGGATTTGGGAGCCACAGGATGGGAGGAACCAAGATCCCTGTATCTTTGTCTGGAGTAAGACCACCTACAGGACATTTGCTTTAGACTACTATGGAAGTGAAAAGTAAACCTTTGTTATATTTGAGCCATCATACACATTTGGTTCTGTCTGATTAGCACCCTAGCCTAATCTAACACACCCATTTCTACACCAAACTCATCCCAACTGTGATCTCTGTAAGGCCAGGGACCATGTCTCTCCAGTTCACTGATGCATTCTGGACACTTAACCCAGGACATAGCAATGAGAAGATACATAATAAAGTTTTTTTTACAATGCTAGCTATGTTTTATTGAGCATCTTTTATGTGCCAAACACTGTGCTAAATCTTTTATATATTGTGCATTATTTCATTTCATGTAATGACAACTCTAAAAGGAGAGTTCTATTGTTATCTTTTTTTTCCTTGATGAGAAAATAGAGGATTAGAAAGCTCATAGCTAGTATTCATATTTAAACAGGGTGACTCCAGAATCTGCACTCTGAAACACCAGTCTATAACTATGTGCAGACCTTAACATTTTAACTCATGTAATTTCTCCCTCCAAGGATGTCCTCAACCCCTCCTCTCCATGTATTGAAGCCTGTCTTCTTCCTTCCCAGGACCCATCAATCATTCTATCCTTTAATTAGTCCAGCAGGAATTTCATATATATCATTACTGCAACAGGGAATACGTGTATCTGTCTGCCTCTAGGAAGAAGTTACCTTGAAAGAAGCACAATTTCTTAGACATCACTCATCTCAGTGTTCCTTCGAGCATAGGGGAAGACAGAGAACCTACCATGTGTCAGGCACTCCAGGCACTCAGGACTCAACTGTAAATAAGACAAGGGCAATCCTTTCTCTTGAAAAGCTTAGTCTTCTGCCAGTAAATAGACATAGGAAATGCATCGCAGCCACAATGTAACCTCTGCAGTAATAGAAGCAAAAGAAAAGCAAGAAATTAGTTCTTCCCGGAGAAGGAAAGAAAGGACCCCAGAGCAGGTGATCTTTGACCTGAGCTTCTGAAGGATGATTCTCCAACTGATTCTCCAGTTGTTTAACAGGGATCCTAATTAGTGGGAAAAGCATGCACAAAAAGTGTGGGTGCATTAAGATGCAGGAGCTGTTCCAGATGAGTGAGGTGATGACTTGCTAGAATGTAGGATTCCTTCATTGACTCATGTATTTATGACTGAGTAAACCTAGAATACGTCAGGCATTGTGCTAAATGTAGAGGATTCAAAAGTGAGCAAAACAGTAGGATCCCTACCCTAGTGGAGCTTAAAATCCATTAGGGATGGCAGCTGATTACAAACCTCTAACCATCACGTGTGAGAGGGGAAGGAGGACGGGATAGCCAAACATGTGAAGGAGAAGTTGGACATGTGGGCTGATCCAGATGGTAAGGGACCTCTGACACCAGGCTAGGGACAAGGAAATCTCCTTTTACTCTGTCACCACGTCGTGCCTCTCCCACCTCCTTGATAGCTCTCGATTTTGTCCAGTCTCCTCACCACCACTATGCTCAATAAAGGCCACCATCTCTTCCTTGAATGAACACGACAGTCTTCTAAAGGGCCTCTTGCCTCTCATCCCCC